CTCGGCCCCGACTGGGGCTCCGGCCTCGGGCCGTGTGTGAAGGCCGATCTGTGTGTGGGGGGCGGCGTGGAGGGTTGGCTGCTGCGTGTGAGATACTGTGGGGGGCGGTGGGGCCGCTGGGCGCCCCTTCGATTCGTAACCTCGCCTGTGTGCTTCCCTCTTGTCCGCCCTGTTCCTTCTCCCGTCCCCCACAGCTCCGTGCGCGCGACCCTGCCAGCAGAGGAGACAGGTATATGCTGGTCACTTTCGAAGAGCCGCCCTATGCTATCAAGGTAACAGCCCTCGCCCTTCGCCTTCCTTCTCTTCCTTCCCCTTCCCTTCCCTGTTCCTTCCTCGCTCGCCCTCCCCGCCCCCCCATTCACCCTTCATTATGCTCCCCTCCCCCACCCCCTGTGCTCCAGGCTCTGAGGTCTTTTCCCCTGCGGGCTCCCACCCCCTCCCCCGCTCCGGAGTGTCCTGGCGGGGCGCGGAGTCGCCGAGCCACCTCCGTCCCCTCCCAGGCCCGACCCGGCGGCGGCGGCGGCAGCGGCGGCGGCGGCGGCGCTGCTGCGATCAACATGGCCGACATTTCCCCTCCGCGGCGTGAGCGGCAGCAATGAACTGTGGGGGATATTTATTCAAGTTAGCCCGAGTGACAGCCGGGCCCGGCCGCGCCGAGCCCCGGTTTGCATTAAAGGGGAATTGGCCCGGGACTTGGCCGCATTCGCCCTGGCTGGCCTGCGAACAGGGCTGGGGACAGCGTGGTTTGGTCTTCGGATTCTTCCTGTGAGGGCGGAGGGTCAGTAGGACAGCTGTAGGTTAACTTCGGAAGTCCCACTCACTTCTGCTTGCCACTAGTACCTTTGCATCCCGTAATTTTAGCTGTTGGGTTAGGGAGTAATATTCTCAGCGAAGTTAGTAAGTATTGAGGCTGTTAGTCACCAAAAACTAGTGCAGGCAGGTTTATTCTTGGTCACCTTTGGAAGTTTCCGTAGTACATGTACCGTATTAACAGGTTAACCAAACCATACTGTGAAGTGAAGCAGCTACGTGGTGAACGGCAGATTATAACCGCTGTCCATGTGTACATAACTTTAAAAGTCGGGAAAAAAAAAACTCTTTACTTTTTTTTTTTCCAGGCTGGATGGAAAGAAAACCATGCAACGTTTATGAATGAACTGAAAAACCTTCAGGCAGAAGGACTTACGACTCTTGGCCAATCCCTAAGGACAGCTTTTGATTTATTAAATTTAAATAGATTAGTAACTGGCATAGACAACTATGGGCAGGTAGGTTGAATGTTAAGGTGGAAAAACAGTTGATTTTTCTTTTTGTGGAAAAACACAAACTATGTGACAGTGATAAAACATTTCAGATTGCACCTAACACTTCTAGTACAAAAGGGAAACTGACCACATTTGTATGATTTTACAGCCCTCTTTTTTCTCCTAGATTTGATTTGTATTCAGAATCGGAGTCTGAATTCTTTTCTATGAATTTGAGGTGACTGACTTTAATCCTTTCATGTTCACTCTGGACATAAAATCTTCTCTCACCACATTTAAGTTTCTCTGATACTCTTCCCATAAACAAATGTGCACTATCGCAGTGATTTAGGGACACTATTATCTCAGGAATAGTCTTCATTTCTATATTAGTAAACATGGTAGAGGAATTTATATGTTGTATCAGGGGTTAATTAAACCATGTTGTATAACTACTCTGAAAGGTAACAAGGTTTTCATTGGTGTGCAATAACAGAACATTAAGATATATTTCCGCTTTTGACGCATATACAACTAGCAGCTATGCAGAAAGAATTCTGACTTCATTCTTAAATTAAATGACTGATTCATAGGTGTCTTTTTCTTTTTATAAACTCCAGACCCTTGGAAAAGAAGTTACTTGAAAATATGAAGCAGTCTTTCCTTTTTCCTTAATTCCCACAGTTTATTACACTTGTTTTTATCTATTGAAGGTGAGATAAAAACTTTAGGTCACAATATAGTTCACTATGGAATAATGCAAGATAGTCCATTATATCTTTTTGAGATGGATGACTTGGAAAATAAAAGATACTGAAAAAAAGGTTACACATAACTAAAGGAATTAATTAAACCCAAGGGATTCAATTTTCTCTCTCACTGCAAAGTACTGTCACAATGCTACATTCAGGTATAGATTTTGATCTTTTCCCAGGTTCCATGAAGCACAATTTCATGTGTTTCACATGAAATTTCAAGTAAATTCTTCTGTGACTATTTCTATTTTTATATAAAAAGAACCAGTTGTTCCTTGTTTTAGAAATGTTTATGCTTTACATCTTTAAGATAATTTATTCATGCATAAACATCTTTGGAAATGGTTAAAATTAGTCCTGTAGCATTTAAAGTATATATTGCAACTCAAGAGTTAACTTTGTTTTCTATTTTTACCAAATTGCATTTCCATTGTTAAATGTGTATTTTTAAACCCCATTAATCTTTTTGTTTCCCCTCTTATTGCTGATTTATTTTGCAATTTAGTAATTTAGGCAGATTTGCCTTGAGCTTTTCAGTTTGTTTCAGTAAAAAAATTTCTTGCCCTTTCATGTTCTAATATATATAGTGCTGAGAAGTCTTTTATTGCTAAAGATTATGATCCAAACTTAAGACAAGTTTGAAATTTCCATTATCTCATCAATATTTGATCATCCAGTTATCAGTGTGAAGCAGAACTGCCAATTTTCTGGGTTTTTTTGGGGGGTGGGGGCACGTTTTGTAACTGTGAAATGACATCTAGACACATTTGCCTGCTAACATCTATTAAGAATATTTCATAGGGTACTTCCTTAGAAAAACTGATTGTCATAGAAAGGTTAAGGGCGTTTGTATGTTAACTTGTATTTTCCTTTTCCCAGTTGCCATCTTCCACCAGAAAATACTTAAGTACTTGTGTATAAAACTTACAAAAAGTTTGAGATTGAAGGTGGTCCTGCTGTGCTGTTACCACTTTGACCAAGAGAAGAACCTGGAGATTAGGATATTTTGCATGTTAAGATTAATTAATTAACAAGGGGAAGGGATAATGCTCCTCAGTAATTTTGATGAATAAGCAAGGATAAAAGGAGTAATATTAATGCTTATTTTCTAAATTGGCACATATAAATGACACTAGCGTAAAAGTTATTTAAAAAGCCTCAAGTTCTAAATGCAAGTGATTGAGTAAATGTTTAATTAGAAGAAAGCATCTTCATAGAATATTTTTCATTATGAAGCTTTTAGTAATTTAAGTATATCTTCTGTACAGAAAAGATAAGTTATCAGGAGTAGGCTAGCTAAAAATTTAATAGTTCATGTGTTTTCTACTTCATAGAAATACTTTTCTTTGCCTAATTTCTGTGGAATAACTTTACTCTGTAAGCTCTGTTTTTACATAATTCTCCTGTCATGCTCTGTACTAGTATCTATGGAGCCCACATACTAAATACTTGTATGTAATTTCAGTTGTTGAGGGAAATGTGAGAAGATGAACAAGATAGAAAATTGCATATTGCTTTTTAGGGCATTTGAAAACCTTTGTTTCTAAATATTCTTAAATTTTAAACATGGGTATTTAATATCTTTTTACACACACACATACATATGTTGGTGTCCTACATATGTTCCTCTCACATACATGCATGTGTAATTTTTCCATAACCATGGATATTCCAAGGGTATTTTAACTTTCTTGCATGTGTTAGTTAGCATACCTACAAATAAAATATCTTGGGGCTATAAGTTATTAACAGAATTTGCAGGGTATCAGTAGGGTTAAAGTAGCTGAGAATAAATGAACAGCTCTTTGTGAATGTCTTCCTCAAGCACTTTGAATACCCCAGTTGAAAAAAATCTGTGCATGGAAAAGTCCTGTGCATAGAAAATTCTGTACATACAAATACTAATTTTGATAATCAGTACCATTTGCTGATACATCTGTAATCATGGAACAATGTAGTTTTAGGCAATCTTTTCCTTAGTTGTAGCAGCACCTTATTAAATTGCTTATTGTAATTAAATTGGTTATTTTTTCCATGTGTTTACCAGAATTTCATATAATGTTGATTTTTTGAGAGTTACTGAAAGTCTGAACCAGCCTTAATATTTAAAGTCAAGATTGATATAAAGTTTTAAAGAGCTGATTAAAGTTTTATAGGTAGGTTGGTTTATTTTCTCTTGTTTGCAGCTATTTTTTCAGTCAGGTTTCAGACTTAGCTACAAATATTACTCTGGCTTGCTGTTTATCATTTTCTCACTGAGTTCACTCCATACCCCTGCTACCCATTGTGCTAGTGCTGACCTCAGTAAAGACAACCCTTAATTGTACCCTAAAAAAATACAATATACCTGATTTTTTGAGGGTTTTGAGTAATTAAAGGTTTAACTCATTGAAAAATGGTGACTATTTAGATAAGATCATATTGAATGACTCAGAATAATTTTATTCATCAGCACTAAGTGCTGTTTGTTACCTTTACAGGTAATTTGGATAAAGTTCTGATAATAATGCTTTCTTCCCTTCACCTTCCCTTCACCTGAGCAATATAATAAGTACCCAACAGGCATATTATAACATACAGGCATCTCTCTTAATATCAATGAAGTAATAAGGTGAAGTGATGAAAACCTGATTATAGTTTGGGATTTTGCTTTCCCATAAATTATCAGTTAATGTACTAACAGTAGTTTGGCAATTGTTGACATAAGCATCTTTTCAAAAGAAAATAGGTTGTTACACTCGAACACATTGTGGTGTTGAAAGTGAACTGGAAACAATGTTGGATGGTACTTCCTAAATTTTTTTCTCAGGACTTTTTTCCATTTTTAAATTATGAAAAAAATACCCCCAAAGCATCAAATTCACCATCTTAACCATTTTAAAGTGTATAGTTTCATACGATTAAATATATTCACATTGTGCAACCAATGTCCAGAATTCTGTGCCCATTAAAAAGTAACTCTTTAATTTCCCTCCCCTTCCTCAGCTCCTAGCAACCACTATTATAATTTTTGTTGCCCATTTTGACTGTTCTAGATACCTCCTATAAATGGAGTCATAAAGCACTCTTTTTGGGACTGACTTGCAGTTAGCATAATATCCTTAAGATTATACATGTAACGTTGGTGGGACTTGTTCCTTTTTAAGACTGAATAATACTTCTTGTACATATATAACATTTTGTACATATCATGCTTGTGTTTTATCTCTTGGTTATTGTAAATACTATTGTGAATATGGTGTGAAAATATTTTTTTGAGATCCAGCTTTCATTTCTTTTGGAAATGTATCCTGATGGGATTGCTGGATCATGTGGTAATACTTTGGAAGACCTGCCATATAGTTTTCCATAGTTGTACTATTTTATATTACCACCATAATTCTAACCAGCACAAGAAATCTCTGATTTTTCTGTATCCTTGACAACACTTCTTTTCAGATATTAGCCATCCTAATGGGATCTGAGGTGATGGCTTATTGGTTTATTTGCATTTAACTAATTTCTGTATTGAGCATTTCTTCATATATTGGCTGGACATTTGAATAGGCTTTGGAGAAGCCTATTGAAGTCCTTTGCTCATTTTTATTTTATTTTTAAAGATTTATGCATGCAGAACTGGGATACAGGCCAGAGGTGCAGGGGCAGTGAGAGGATTCACCAGAGTCACAGTGGGGAGCCGAACAGGCAGACTGATGAAGTACACTGCTGAGGGGAGCAGTGGCAAGACAGGAGAGGTCTGCAGCGCCTTGTGGATCACTTCCCTGGCCTGGGATCAAACTCATTGGAAAGGCCTTGGCCAGCTTCACAGGGTTTAACCCATTGCACTACCAGGGAGGGCCCCTTTGCTCATTTTTAAAATCAAGATTTTTGATGTAGAGTTACCGTAATTCTTTAAATACTCTTATTAACCCTTTATGAGAGAGATGATTTGTGGTTATTTTCACCCCTCTGATTGCCTTTTCACTCACCATTGCGTGTGTGCTTTGATGTGCAAAAGTTTTTAATTTTTGATGTAAATCAATTTATCTTTGTGTGTGTGTGTGTGTGTGTGTGTGCGCTTTTGGTATCTTAGCCAAGAAGTAATTGCCAAATCCATTTATGTTTTTAATCTGTTTTGAGTGATTTTTGTGTATGGTATTGGATAAGGATCTAACTTCATTCTTTTGTGGACTTTGCATTCCTAATAACATTTGTTGAAGAGATGGTCCTTTCTCTGAACTTTTAAGTCTCCTAAAGTATCAATGATTATTTGCAAGTAGGGGCTCCACA